GAAATATTTGCTGTCTATTGTTATGTAATTGTATCGTAATAAAAAAGAGTCTCAGGGAAACAGTGGGCTGAGGGAACTGGAAGGGGCTAAACTCAACCTCTTGGCTACACACCGAAGAGCTGCCAGTGGGACGAGACAGATCAGCAGCCACAGATAAACACTGCCCCTGCGGCGGTTCATGGATACGCCAAGAACATAACATTGTGAGAACTTTACATACATTTTAACCTCAGTTCCATAGCACAAGCTTTGATATTCTAATAAATTACTTTAAAAAGGAAAAATATACGATATATACACTAATGTAATGTAAAATAAAACATAGGCCTTCATCTAATTCAAACTGATTTTATTTAAAACATTACACAATATTTTCATCAAATATTTTGTTAAAATTGGAAATAAAACGGATGATTAGCTTTATAAGGTAATAAAAAAGCAAAACATAAAATACTGTAATACAGAATGAAGAAAAAACATTTTAAAGCTTACAAGCAAAGGAAGAAATCAGAAAGTACAAAATTTGTCTACAGAATAATGAAAAATAGGTTTTGTATGTTTAATGAAAAAGCCAAAATTTTTTAGGATTTTTTAGATGGCAAACAACAAATTAGAAAAATATTCACAGCAAATAAAGTTTTTTGTTTGTTTTTATCATGAGCACATACTCAGGTTTTTTTAGGGAATTTGAATAATTTATAAAAAAAATAAATGCAATTAAGTGACTAGACAAATACTGAGAATTTAAAAAATAGAAATAAAAATGATAAGCATATGCAAAAAGAATTCAAACTTAATCATAACAAAAGATGCAAATTAAAGCCAGACAATGTAGCAAAGCTTTTCCTTTTTTAGTTAAAATACCCAGTCTGGGGTAGGCAGGCTGGGGCAGGCACAGGGAGCGCTGGGTGTGGACACGGGGACTCACTTTTCTGGAAGCGTGTCAGGACTACGCCTGCTCCGTGCACCGCAGCAGGTGGAGGTAAGTGTGGGCTGAAACACTAGCCCCTGCCTCCCCAAGTCTCCAATGCTACCAGAACTTGTTAAAAGAAGAAACAAAAGGGAGTGGGCACGGGTCGGGTTCCTGGAAAGGAAGGCACAGTAACCTGGGAAGACGGACGTGCTCTGCGGGGTGCTGGGCACAGATGTGGGCCTTCCCTGGGAGAGGCCGGAAGACTAACACCTGAGCAACCCTGTCCTGCCAGCAGCCCCCCAACCCCCCCCAACCCCCAACCCGGGCAGGGCAGCTCTGTGTCCCTGGGAGCGGTGGCGGGTGCAGCAGAAGCACCCTGGCCACAGGAGGGGAAAGGAGGAGTGGACAGGCATGCAGAGCATGGCTGCATCTGGATGACAACCAAACGACCACACACACAGGGAGGTCTATATATCCACACTGTGTACGCGCACATGGGTATGTAGATACAATTTCATTTCTTTAATGGCCACAACTAAAATCCTCCTCAGGAAGGAGGTGTGTAACACAGGCAGTAGGTCCACCTCTGGAGGGTGAGATGAGCTGCATGGACGGGTCTCATTCCTTGCAGAATTTTCTAATTGGGATTTTTCCCCCAAAGATTTTAAGTAATCTCCACACCCAACGTGGGGCTAGAACTCTGCTCTCCCCCAAGAGTTGACCGCTCCTCTGAGCCAGGCAGGCGTCCCTCTAATTGGGATTTTTTAGCGTTTCTTGAGTGTTTTGGTATTTAAAAAGAAAAAAAAGTTTTAAAGTTCACAACCCTTGTTCCCAAAACTCCAGTCGAAGAATGAATTATTTATAAAAGGCTTAGGACAGTGCCTGGCACCTTGTAAGTGCTCAAATAAATGTTTTAAAAATAAATACCCTAAGGAAAAGGACTCAAACTATGGAAAAAGCCTCCCTATACAACCTATCACAGTTCAGAAAGGGTTGAGTATGGAGGGAAACATTTCACAGGGTGGAATTCCATGTGGCTTCTCCTTGGGGCCTGACCCTTGGCCTCTGCAGGGACCTGGGGAGAGGTTCTGCCTTTCCAGGGTGGGCTCGCAGTACTGGAGTTTACAGAATTTACAGTGAGAACTGTATCTATCGTGCAGACTGGAATCCTCATCAACACGATGTCAGCGTTTTCTCCCTGTGGGCAGATTTTCATTCATTCATTGAATAAACATTTATTAAGCACAAAGCACGTGCAGGCACTGTCCTAGGTCCTAGAGATACAGCAGTAAATGAAACAAAACCTCTTTTCCTCGTTATTTTCATGAAGTTGATGTTCTAACAAGGAGAGATAGGCAATAAACAAATCAATATACATCAACTGGTTGTAAGTGCTAAGAAGAGAAATAATGCCAACTAAGGATGGGAGTGATCAAATCAGGTGTTTACCCATGAACAGGAGAGAAGGGGGCCTAACTCACTGATGGAGGTCCAGGACGGCTTCTGAGTCCAGAAGGCAGTCAGTGGGATGAAGCTGCGGGGAAGGGTCAGGAGGCTCAGGGTCAGTGCCACCACACAGCAACAACTCGATGGACACACGACACCAGGGGGATTCGTTCCAGCCGGAAGGCTGTGGAAGGGCCTCAAAGAGGTGGGATATGAGCATGTGCACACACGCATACAGTGGTCATCCCACATGGTTATGGAGCAGTTTACTCCTTCATCCCAGGAGTGGGCCTGTGACAGACCTGACCAACCATGGCATCCCTGTCTCCTTGGCCACTGAGATTAGTTTACAATGCAGAAGAGAACTGTAAAGTCACCGGCTTGGGGCTGCCAGTGTTCAGCTTTTTCAGCATGTCTAGAGAAGGCAGCAGGAGAAAATGAGGCCAATAAACAAAAAGGAGCAGAGAAAGGCAGGGTCAAGAGAGTCTTCATGACATTCTTTGAGCCTTGTGATCCAGCCATACCTGAAGCTCATCTTTGGACTTCCTAGTTAAATGATCACAAGGGGTTGGGGGGACTCTTTTTTGCTTAAGTTAGTTTACACTGGGTTTCTGCCATTCGCAACTGGATTAATATACCCTTTTTTGGGGGAAAGAGCTCCACTGTGTATGTGGTGGTGATGGGGTACAAGGGTAATGGAGGATAGATTATGTGAGAGTTTCTCCCATTAAGTTTGATAAAGACAGTGAAAGAGGTGGCTTTGAGGCATCTGGGAGGATTTAGAAGCAGCAACGACAGGTCCTTGGGTGTGTGTGTAACTTACAGTCTATATGGATGAGTAATATAAACCTGTGAGTTTATATAATCCACTGTATGGCCCTAAGTCATCTTCAGAGAACTAACACAGAACAGCTGATCAAAGACACCAAGAATTACCTATTTAAAACCAGTTTACTATTCCCACATTAATGCACATCAGTCACAGGTCTTTCCCAAATATTTAATGTTGCCACAAACTTAATATTTTGAACTCTTTACCCTATACCAAACAATCATCCAGTGTTCTCCAGAAAACTTAATTCAGGCAGCTAGACCCATTACGGTCCAATTCTAACAGATGTTTAAGCAAAATAAACTGCTGTATCTCAAGAGATCACTACAGATGCCCAAAGCTCAGATCCTCTTGTTCACATATTTGAAAACTCTAATTTAGTTGGTCACAGATAATAATACCAACCTCAGACTAAAATACAGCTTCAAATCTTTAAATCCATGAACAAGAAAGATGTTCCTATTACACCATTACCATATAAGAACAGCTAGCTAAGGAAGCCTTTGTGTATTAAGCAATGGGTCTCATTCCAGCAGAAATAACAATACCTCAAGATTTTTTCTTCTTTCCACAGGTATTTACCAAATACCTACTGTGTGCCCACGATCCCAGCACTGTGTGCCCATGAGCCTTTCCTTTTTCTCTGGGTGAAAAGGCCAAATCTCGGTTCACATCTGGACAATGCTGGGTAAAATGTAAAATAAAAGATAATTTATCACTGAACAATTTGAAGTATTATTCTTTCAGCAAATCCTGGCCCTCTGAACTCTGCTTATGCTTCCCTTGCCCCACTACCCCAGGTTCACGATGTTAGGACTGCAGTCACTGAGAAATAAGCCCGAGAAGCCTGGGTTCCAGTTCCAGTTCTGCCATTAATTAGTGTCGGGATTTTGGCCGAGACTAATCTCCTGGATCTAAACAACGGGGATATGCTTACTTATTGCACTGGGCTGCAGGAGGTATTAAATCAGCGGATGTGAAGTGTTCTCTACAGTGTGAGGCACACAGCAAGTGCTCAATAAAGAGAAGCTGTAACTAAATGAGGCCTTAACCTCTTTCCAGTTCTAAAATTTTATGAGGTCTTTAGTAGAGAAATGATGGATTTTGAGATTCCTCCTTCTACAGCCCCCCCCCGCCCAGTCCGCTTCATCACATCTGGCAGAACAGCAAACACCCAAAATAGCAAAAAGTTCCCCCCTTCTCAATCAGCTGTACCCATGGGAAGCCTTCAGCAAGGGAGCAAGTTCAAGTGCCTGGGTGCTGTTCCCTTACTAATAATAGCTGGACACTCCAAAGTCTGACAATAGCCCTGCGAGGTGGATGTGATTACCCTCATTTGGTCGGTAAGCGCAAGCAGGAGAAGTTAAATAACTCACTGAGCGTTACACAGACGGCAAACAGCAGACCTGACTCCAAAGTTCATGCCCATTTCCACTCTTATTCCTCTGCTTCCCATACAGCAAGCACGCAACTGTTTGTTTAAATAACGAAAAAGATATTTCGGGAGCTCTGAAACGATGGGAACGAGCCTTCTTTGGTAAAGGAAGAAGTTGGCACATCACTCTCGTCTGCTCGACCATCTGATGCTCCTGCGTCCTGCGCTCCCCGTGACCTACCGCCTCCCTCCCCGGCGGCAGCACAGGCCTCCGGTGCGAGCGTGCTGCCTGAGCGGCTCGGCCTCCGCCGGCCCCGCCGAGCGCCCGCTGGGGCTCCCCCGCACCGCACTGAAGACCCAGGGACAGGCATCGCTTTCCGAAAGGCAAGTCTCCCAAACTCGGACATCACACGGAACACCTGCGGCAGGCTTACCCTCTGGCGGGGCCCGAGAACCACGCCGAGCGACGGAGGGCGGAGGACAGGCGCTGACGCAACTAGGCCTCCTGCAGCAGGGCCAGGCCGAGGCACCGCGCGGTGGCCGCGACCCGCAGCGGGCTGTCCGCGGCGGAC